AATTATTTGCGCTGGTAAATGAAAAAAAAAGAAAATTTCCTGAAAAACGGACATTGTAGATTAATTGCATGGCAATTATCAAAAAATATTGTTTTAAGAATTTTTACAAGCCCGAAACTGACAGAGATGTATTTTCAATGTGTGGTTAACTTAATCGCGAAATTCATCGCAATCCGAGTATAACGGTGTTTGTATTTCTTTTTTTCATCCATCCACAGCGAATATCGCTTTCGGAAATTTGTGCTTTTTTTTGGCTCTCCCTTTTTTCATTTTCTAAAAGTATACAGAGACGACGTTCGACTTTCGAACATATATTAATAATATATATATATATATATATAATTTAATTTAGAAAAAATCTTTGGATAAATAATTATTTTCCATGAATCACATGTTTAAGAATTCTGATAGAATCTTTTCTCTTTTTGAATCCCCTGAAGGCGTCGTACAATATTTTTTTTATATCACAAAAATAAGAACTTTATTTTAATAATGAATATATAATAAAGAAAATAGAAAAATTCTTCTGATTTCGTAATTATAAATTTTTAACGACAGTATTAATATAAGAAAAAAGTAATTTTGTAAAAAATACAACTTTATATCACAATAGAATAATTAAGTTGATATTGTGTATAGTATGTAATAATAATTAATTAACTCAGTTATTTATTAGTCATTGTTGTATGTAGTTCCTTATTCAGCGAGACAATTATTATAATTAATTATGTAGGAAATATTTTTATACTTTTTTTCAAATAATTAGATATTATTTCAACAACTTTTTTATTATTTAGTGAAATTAAGAAATAAAATAATTTTGTAAATAATACTTTAAAATATTTTACAACAATCTGATTTAAATATTATAATAAATAGGTAATTTATAATTAATAACATATATAATTGAATAAAAATTTAAATATTAAAAATTTATTTAATAAAAATAGTCATACGAAAATGAGTTACAAAAAAAATAATTTATTATCAAAAATGTTATCAAAGTAAAAAAAAAATCACTAATCGTTTAAAAGCTATTTAAAAACTTATTAGCTTTTCTATATTTTTGCTAATTATTAAAAAAAAAAATGCGTTTTAAAAGATTAAGTACGGTGTGAGTTATATTTGTATAAAAATTATCTCCATATAGATACTTATTGAAAAAATATTAAATGCAAATTTAATTTGATATATTTCGTTGAAAGCATATTTTATTTTAATCGCCGTGGGTGGTGTATCTTATCACTTAGAGTTGGATCTTTTGGATGTAAAAGATATCTTAAAGAGTTTGAAATTGATGACTGTAATTGGACAAACTTCAGTACAAGTTACGCCTGAAATAAATCACTTTGGGATTTTTGTTTCACGAAACAATGGACGTAATGGTCGATAATAGCGAATAATGTAGTTTGTATACATTCATTTTATAATGGTAAAAAAAATGCAAAATATATCAAAATCACAGAGAGTGTATAATGATTTTTTTTCTTTATATAAGAAAACAAAATACAAAATCATTTGTAGATAATATTATTTTTTTTTTAAAATAGATAATAGAATTTTGTAAAAAATTATATTATTATCGTAAAAAGTGTGTGGAAAACATTTTATGCAGAATCATATTAAAAAGCATTTAAATTATTTAAATTTATTTAAACTACAATGACATTAAAGATTTTTTGTAAATTTTATCACAAATTATTACAAGAGAATTTTTAAAAAAGCTTAAATTTTTAATTTAAATTTAACTTAGGAAATTTTTTTCACGATTTAAACAATAATTTTTGCCTTATTTTATCGAACGATGTTTTAATTTTAAAAACTACAATTTTTTAATTTAATTATATATAATCGACGATTTTTAAAAAACTATTTTTTTTATTGAAAATAATTCTATAATTTTCGGCTCAAAAATATTTCTTGCACTATTTATTAAGTAACAAATTATAAAAAACATTTTTTTCAGATAAAAAATTTTACAACTTTCTGTCTTTAAAAATATAATTTGTTTTCTAATTGTTAATCATAAACGTTGTGGACTTTATTAAATTAATAATTAAAAAAAAAAATTTTATGCAACAAATATTTGTTACTTAATTTCTCAAAAAATTACTCGTGCAGAAAATTTGACCGGGCCCGATCGAAATGAAACAGAGAACCCGACCGGGGCCATGCCAATTTGCTCGATCTGGAATCCTGGTTGGAACCCGACCAGGGCCTTGGTAATTTGCCCGATCTTATAGTAATTGTAATTTTCAAAAAATTATAATTACACGGGAAAAAGAAAAACGTTGGATTAATACCGTTTTCCGATTGGTTCAACGGCAAGGAGCGCTGTAGGCAGTGTCTGTTGGATCAACTTACTTGTAACAATAGATGGACAGTAGGTTCAACAGTAAAAGTCTGTTGAATCAATGCCGAAATCGTGACAGGGCCCACTGACGTTGAACCAATCGGAAAACGGTATTAATCCAACGTTTCTCTTTTTCCCGTGTACTTATCTCTAGTTGATAAATAAAACAATAAAATTAATCAATATTATTTTATTTTATGAATCTGCATTTAAAAAAACACGTACCCTATGAAATGAAATTGAAATAAAAGTTGAAAAAATTATTTGAATAATTGTTTCGTTTACTCTCTAAATCTGAATTAGTAAAAATGTTTATTAATTTAAATTAGTGACTCACTTTTTGCTTATAAATTAGTAAAATTTTACTATTTATTAGTAACTTTTAATTATTATTATTATAATTAGTAATCGGTATGAAAAGTGGCAATTTTTGCACGGGTATTTAAAATTATTAATTCTGAACGTTTGAATGAACAAAATTTTCATTACAAAAAATTTTTAAATTATAACGTTGGTATTTATTCATAAACTGAAAATGAAAACTATAATAAAAAAGAAATTACTTTAAGGGGGGAACACCAGTTGTAACTTTCGAAAAATCGATTTTTTTTTTGGTGCATTTTCTTAAAGTATACATATTTAGAAATGTGTCTGTAAATTTCAAAGTTGATCCGGTGAAAAATAAATGAGATATACAGAACACTGCAGCGGCGCGTCCCGTGGCTTCATACAAGGTGGCCAGCCATACCTGACCCTAACGACAGATGGCCTTTTCCTATGATTTAGAAACGGCAACCACTGCGGAAGAGTTATTATATGGTCCAGGAATCGATGACTCTTTGTAACTTAGAAACAAAATTTCTTCTGAACAAAAAAAAGTAAGTTGAAACTTTTAATGCGTTTTTCTCAAAATGACATTTTCCAAGTCGGTGACCACGATTACTCGAATACCATTAAACCGATTTATTTAAAATTTAGTGTGCTTCATTTACACATATAAGTCTAGTTCGTGATCGAAGGATTTTTTTTTTTAATCAAAACTTTTTTTTATATAGCTGAAAATCGACCGTATTTTTTTAACGAAAATCATACTTTTGACTTTGACAGGTCGCCATTTTGTCAAATTTTTTTTTTTTTTTAAATCCTTCGATCACGAACTAGATAATCTTATAATAAATGTAAATCAATTTCATTTTTGTATTTCAGACGAAGTATACTTGCAGAATGCTGGTCACCGCAATTCGCCTTTTTTCTTAAGACGCCACTTCAATGGCTCATATCTCCAAAAGTTTTTGTTAAAAAAATTTTTTTTTTCTTTTAAATTACAGCTTTTTACATGTACTTTTAACTAATAAATAGTATTCTTTAAAAAGATTCATTGTTCTTTTGGAAAATATTCTTGAAAAAAGCATTATTTTTTGAGTTACAACTGGTGTTCCCCCCTTAATATCCAATCAGCTTAAAAAGGAAAAATTATATTCTTAATTACCCTACATCATAATTTTATTACAGTGCAAAAAGAAATTTTTTTTTTTTTGGAGTAGTTAAAAGCATCTTAAATAGCCATTTAATAACTTAAGCAGCTAATGCTTTTTAAGATACTTTTGGTAACTTTTTTGAAATATTTACTACTATACAGAAAAGTATAGCTTTTAATAGACTTTTCAATGTAAATAATAAATTTTAACGACAACAAAGGAATATTTTTTGCCCCCCATTCTCTTTATTTCATTATAGATTTTTTTCTTTATTGTCGCAGTATAAGATTTATTTTCTCCATTGTGTACTTTTACAAAAGTTTTTACAATTTTCTTTCTCGCAAACTTAAAAAATAAAAATAATTCTTTATTGCCATTAAAATATATAAATAAATATTTATAATCTCTTCTTTCTATGGGTTTGAAATAACAAAAAAGAAAAGAAAGAATTTTTATTCTTTTCTTTTCATTTTGATTTATTTTTAATTAATATTGAACTTTCATGGACCAAATGAGAGTTTATCTATAAGTTCAATATTCACAATAATATAATTTTTTAAAATAATTAAATTAATTATTTAATGTAATTAAATATTTTAAGATTTTTAAAAAATATCTTTAATTCCTAAAATTTATTGAACTAATTGAATTTTTTTCAATAAATTTTTGTCCTATGGTGATTTTTAATTTTTTTCTATTCATTTTTATTTTTTAAATAATTTTTATTCTCTAATTATTGACAATTTTACTCGCACAAAATTAGAAAAGTAAAACTGTGAAAAAAAGAGAAAAAAAAATTATCCCCCCACCCTCCCTCAAGAGGATACCATGTATACACTGAACAAATGTGTTTTAATACAAATATTCGGTTACTTGATTATTATCGATATTTATTTTTATTAAATAATTATAGAGTCAATAATGTTATTTGTTTCAAAATACAGAAATTGTTGGTTCAAATAAAGTTTATTTAATTTAAATAAAAATTATTTTCTTCAAGTAAATATTTATTTGATAATAGTCAATCGATTATTTGAATCAAACATTTATTTCGCTGTACATTATAATTGAAGAATGTCTTCATTTTTTTTCATGTTAAAGTGACAAAAAAAAATGTAAAAATATACAACAAAAAACCGGTATATAGAAAATGGTTTTATATCGTTTACCTTATTCGTAAAATTGCCAGGTATAATACCAAATCCACATTCGATTCGATCAGTCGTTACTTTCGATCGTTCGCTCCCACCGATCTTGGTTCCACATGCTTAACGATCACTGCACGTTTTAAAACTCGATCCCACACATCGGCAATAGAATAAAAACACCACACAAAGGGTAAAATTCACCAAAAAAAAAAAAGAATAATTTTCCACTAAAAAAAACCAATTTTGTCTACATTTCACGAATTTGAATTCTTTTATTAGAAAAAAAAAGAATTAATCGAGTCACGCAAAAAGTTTATATCGGTTTGAAAAATCAAAGGAGAGTGTATATCCAAAGAATAATGTTGCTTTCTCACAAGGATATTTTGCGATGTCAAGAAACCCAAGCGCACTGAACACTGCGCGCAACTAAAGTTACCGGAGGGAAAGGTTATACATATATAAAAATTGGGCCAGTTGGGAAAAATTAAGAAAGAGGAATGGGCCTAGAATCTGACTGGAGGCAAATAAAGAAGAAAGGTATATTATACCTGACTGTTGAGGAGGATTATTCGAAGAGTGCGATATCGGGAGAGGAGAAGAAGAGCAGCTGTATCCACCACCACCACCTTCACTGACAGGCATGCTGCCTTGGAATGTGCTTTTGCCCTCCCCCCCTTTTAACCCCCCTTCATCCTTTCCCCCACCAAAGAACCACAAAGAACAACTCTCCAAGGGCCCAACACACTCCTGCGGCCAGGCAATTTTTACAGCGTCCTCTCCCCACTATATTGATCATTTTTAAACGGCAACTTCATACACTAGGATGCGGGTCCGATTTGTTCTTGGGACCCTGCGATGGGTCGAGGGAGAGTTCATCCGCTCATTTTACGCTTAAAAATTACACCCATTTTTCCGGTGCATTCTGAATTTTCTTTACTGGGTTAGAATGTCACACTTTCCATTTCCTAAAAAAAAGGGGCATTTCCATAAGTTCTTTGAAAAAAAGAAACGTGTTCAAATCATGTTTTCTTTCTTTCTCTTTTTTTTTTTTGAGGGGAGACCCTTGAAAATTTCGGGAATTTTAATTTTTTTCTTCTCGGTTTTTGCGAAGCATTTCAAATTTTTTGGAATTGACTTCGGCACGTTTATATAATGTTTTTCGGGAACTGTTTAAAATTTCTTTTTAAGTTTTTTTTTCTAACGTGTATATGTACGAAATATTTTATTTGCATTTATCTGAGACAAATCAAATTTATTTCAATCAAATAAAAATATATTTGGTCTCAGAGTCCTATAATAACTTTTTTTATTTGTTTTAAATAAAATTTATTTAGCTCTGAGACAAATATATGTTTTCTTTTTTTATACAGAGGTTAATATTCAACTAACTGATTATATGAATTGAATACATTTTTTTCAGTGATATTATTTTTACACCCTTGAGAATACATATATTTGTCTAAAAAATTATTAGACTGTATTTTTATTGTTGATTTAAATAAATTTTATTTGTCTTAAATAAATGCAAATAAAATATTTCTCTGGGGTGTAACAGCAAATTTATTCACTATCGATTTCTATGTATATTGATTTCTATCAAATATCTATTTAAAGGAATTTTTATTTAGCAAAATTTAATTTTAGAAATACACCCAGTGAAATGATATATTTGTCTCACAGCCTAATAAATATTTATTTGATTCAAATAAATTTTTAATTGATTTAAATAAATTTTTATTTGATTTAAATAAAAAAATTTATTTACGCCAAATAAATAGGCTAGTAGGCTGTGAGATAAATGTACGTTTATATTTAATTCAAATATATTTTATTTGGTTAAAATAAAACATATCTCTGAGTGTAATAATTTTCACTTAAAAAGTGAATTTTTTGAAGCGCATAAATATCGATAATATCCCACTTGACATAAAATTCAAATTCAATTGACACAAGTTTTATTTGACATAAACCTTAAATACCATATAAATTTCGATTCTAACATAAAAGAACTTATTTGACATAAATCTCACTTGACAAAAACCTTTTTGACGCATAAAACTCATATGTCACTTATTCTGAAGTAAGAATTCTGTAATATATATACGATTTATGTCAAATAAGTTTTATATCAGATTTGATTTATGGCAAAACGTTTTTTTTTGTCAAATGAAATTTTTGTAAAATGTAGAATTTAATGAGAATATTCAGGAGGTTCAAATGTTTAATTAACAGAATTTTATTTTTTCACACACAGAGAAAACTTTTACTTGCGTTTAAGACAAATAAATTTTATTTGAATCAATTAAAAATTTACTTGTCTCAGAGCATAATAACTTATTATTTATATTTTAAATAAAAAATTTTAATTAGCACAAATAAAATTTTATTTAACGCACAATAAAATTTAATTTAAACCAAATAAAAATGATTTAAAATAAAAAAAAAGCCGAATTTCCATTTAACAGTATTTTATATTAGATCAAATTTATTAGTTAGAATTTCAATCAAACGCAGAATTTATATTTCACATTTTTTTATTAGGCCGAATTTTCAATTAACATATAATTTTTCAACAACAAAATCTCTATTTAACTAAATATTTATTTGTTCCAATTTTTATTTTGCCGAAATTATTTTCGTGACGCACTATTGTTAGCTTAAAATTTATCATTTTAAGATTACAATCTATTGCAAAAGTTTAACAAAAATGGAATTCAGCTAAATGAAATTTCATAAAAATTAAGGTTTATCTTCAATAGACATTAAGAATAAAATTTAGAAAATTTAGAGTAAAATTTTGCAAAACACGATTTTGACATAATAAGAATTCTGCTAATTAGAAATTTTGTTAGATAATAATTTATCTTAATAAGTATTCTTTTAAAATAAAACTTTTTTTTTACTAATTTGGCTTAATAAATTTTTTTTTTAATGTAAAATTTTGCTAAACACTTTTTTGTCTCGATTTTGGGTTAAATATAAATTTTGCTAAATGAAAATTTTCTTACATAATAATTGGGCTTAATAAGTATTCTTTTAAAAATATCAACTTCTTTATATACTCGTTTTAATAAAATTTTTGTTATTTAGATATTTAATTTAATGAAAAATCGTTATAACTAAATAGCACTATTGTTAAAAAAATTTTTCGCTACAAATTTTGTTTGGCAGAATTTTTATTTTACAGTTATTTTCTTTACATGATTTTTCATTTTAAAAAAATTTTAATTTAAGCGAATTCTCATTTAATCCAATTTTTATGTGATTCGAATTTTTAAATGACAGAAATTCCAGTTCATCGAATTTTAATTTGTTCGAATTTTTATTTGTACGAATTTTTAATTAATAAAATTTTTAAGAAGCCGAATTTTCATTTATCCGAAATTACAAATCTTTCTGTCGATTGTTTGTTCGGCCATTTGTAATTTCGGATAAATGAAAATTCGGCGTCTTAAAAATTTTATTAATTAAAAATTCGTACAATTTACAATTTAATAATTAAATAAAAATTTGTATGAAAAGAAATTCTGTCAAATGCTAATTCGAAAAATGGAAATTTGTTTAAAAAATAATTATTTCCTAATAAAAGTCTTTAAAATTAAAATTCTATAATTAATTTTTTTTATATGGGCTAACCTTTCCCCCCCCCCCCCATTCGTGTTAAAAGAAAATTTCGTTTTAAATAAAAATTCTGGTCAATGAAAATTTAATAAAATAAAAATTTGTAAATAAATTAAATAAATAATAATAATAATAATAATAATAATATTAATTTTTAAATTGAAATTCCATTGGATGGAAAAAATACCTTATAAAAAATTTTGTTACTTATCAATTTTGTTGTACATTATATAATAAATTTTTGATAATTTTTTTGTAAGGTTTTTTTAAAATTTTTTTCAACTTTTGCGTAAATGGGAAAAAATTGAGTGAATTTTTGTATAGATGCAAATGCGTGAATAAACTATATATTTGAAGAAACAATGCATCTCTCATGAGAAGTTTTATAATTTTTTTTTCATTCTATTCCATCGTTTAATACCTCTACTAACGCACTTTTTCATCTTTCATTTCATCTCATTCTCAGTAGTGTGTCTGTCGACACTTCCGGATTTTAATGTTGTACATTAAATAGAATGTCTTATCATATGAATATTGTTCTTCTTTTGCTTTCAGCATCCTACTAGCATCTCTTATATTAACAATAAAAAATGAAAACAAAAAAAAAATGAAAATTATCCCAAAAAGTAATTTTTTCCTTAGGTCGAATTATAATAATTGTGATTTTATATTTCCGATTATATAATATTAAAACAAAAACTAAAATAGAGGATTATTGAATTAAATAAATTTTTTTTGAAAAATTATTTATCTTTTAAATAAATTTTATTTATTTTGTTTTATTTATACAAAAAATTATCAAATCGTGGTATTTCTATTATCTATTTACTAACAACAAATAAAAATGAAAAAGCTATTTTTAAAAAATGAAAAAAAATTATAATAAATATATGTACTTGTTTTTATATTTAATTTCTATTAATTTAAATAATAATACGTTTAAAATTGTTAATTTAAAAATACCACAAAAATACAAATTTATCTAATTTTTTTTTCATATTTTTTTCCATCTTAATTTTACTATAAAGTTATCCAATTTTTGAGAAAAATAGAATTTATATTAATTTGAATATATAATATTAAAAAAATTTAAAAATAAACATAAATAAATAAAAATTTTAAATATTTATTGATTAATTTGAAATTACCGATGACGAAAGTGAGAACTCGCTGTGGGTCCATTCATCGTCCTATAGGTGGCACCACATGCACGTTCGTGTATAGAGATATTCCTTGCTCATGAAAATTTCGCTCGTTTATTTTGCTAAAAAACTTAACAGAAAATTGTTTTGATTTAATAAAAGTTTGTGCTTTCAAGTCTTATTTATAAGTAAATCTTTTAATTTTCGTCAAATGGTAAGTTGTTTCATTTAATTTAGTGCTATAATATTCATCAAGTTTCTATGACCAATTTGTTGTTGTCTTCTTTTATCTCCGCTTCGCGCCATTTTTTTACCGGTGTTGTCGTTGCCGGCAAAAAAAAACTTCAAAACAGTTCATTTCATCCTTAAATTATTAGAAATGTTTGTTTCGTTTTATAAAATATTGATAGTTAATTGAAAAGTTTTGTCTTAAAATTAAGTGTGAGTGTGTGGAGATGCTTTAACAAAATGCGTAGGTTGCAACAGGTAACAAAAGTCGTTAAATCTATTATATTGTTGTATAGTGCAGCATGATCATGTGCGTGAATATTTTTCACATTGTTGATCTTTTCTAGCAAGTGTTGTTAGTGTTTTCAAATTTTAGAATAATTGATTATTTGCAATCGTGTTTATGTGAGCTCAATTGAAACATAAAAAATATTAAGGATATAACACTTATGTGCGAAAAAATTTTGAGGTTATGAACCAAGAAATTTGTAAATTTTTTGATGCGATTATAATAATTATGTGTGATATTCTATCAATGTCAGGTAAATTCGAAGTTATTTTTGATTTTCGATTTTTTTGGTTATGTTTATTCGAAATATTTGTACTTTTTTTGATAATTTGAACTTTCTCTTGGATGTT